TCGTGCGTGCCAGCCCCCAGGATGTCTGGGAATGCATAAAGCCGGTGGCCGGCGGGCCCAGGACCAAGTGGGACCAAAACGTGAAGGACTTTGAGGTCGTCGAAGCCATCAGCGACGTAAGTTCCTTACAAACTGTTCTGGTGCGATTAATGCATCGTTGTGTTTGGAAGCATTGGGCTCTGCACAGACCTTCTCGCTGTAGTGCCTCATGAGACAGCCTGCGTCGTGTGCGGGGAGGTAAAAAGGTCTCAAGGAGTTGTACAGCCTCTCTGCCTGGATCAGTCTGACAATACTGGGATTAGGAAATTCTGTTGTTGTTGTTTCTCTTTTTTTCATTTCTTTTTCTCTTAACAGTGGCTCATCTTTCTGAAAGGAACTACTAATACATTCTTGGCTGAATGCCGTATATGCAAATTACATAAATGTATAACATTAAAGATTCCTGCACTGCGTTGCTGTTAATGCTGCAAATTAAGCTAAGCATAATTATTTTTAACAAGCTATGAGTGAGGGGAGAGGAGGCTTAGAGAATATATAGACTTCACTAAGCAGTGAAGCATTCATGTCATCAGCCCTTAATTCAGGGCCCATCTTTCACCATGGCAGCACGCGATGATCTGCACGGCGCTCTCGCACTCCGTAATTCAGGGCCCATCTTTCACCATGGCAGCACGCGATGCTCTGCACTGCGCTGTCGCACTCTGCCTTTCACTGGTTGACTGACCTCAGAACACAGCACTTTGCTTCAGTGTCTCTATCGTTAAAGTAGAGGTGCTGCAGATGAAAAGGGCTGCGTGTGAGTAGTAGTTTCTGCTGCTGCAGTTATACAGTCTAATTTCTTTTTTTTTTATTTTTAAGTGTGTCAGAACCTTAAAGGAGCATTGGATTTAGATCCCTAAATCTGAAGTGGGTGTAGGTGCTCAGAGGCAGCCAGGGTGCAAACACAACCAGTCCCAGGAATGTCTGTGAAAGTCCTGTGAAGATTAATTTTCTTGGGGGAACCTTAGAGTCATTTAGCATTAAATATAAACTCTAGAAACGCTGTAACCTGCTGCTTGAAATTCATAAACTTTATCAGACTTGCCAGCACCTACCAATGTGGTAGAAACCTCTGTTTTGGGAAGCCTATACCTATAGGGCCTCCACAGCAGGGGATGGTAGTGTTAAGGCTTCTGCAGCGTAACAAGTCTGGTTATCAAGTTGTATCCCATGTGATACGGTACAAAGAAGTTATCTTCATGGAAAGGAGAAGCGTTTTAACTGTCCTATGACGTGTCAGATTTGCTTTTCAGCATCCCTTGTGTTATCTGTCCTTAAACAACCTGGAAGCGACGCATTATCACTCTGGTTTTCTCCATTAAACTGCCCTTCATCAACACACCGTAGTGCCTTTTGAGTGTGCTGATTTGCATTTGGTTGAGGGGTGTAATAGAACTTGATGCAGTTTGGAAAGGGTAACTGGAAGAGTACTGGAAGAGTACTGGAAAGCAGGATTTTTAAACTGCTGTACTTTTGAAAGCATCCACTGACATAACTCTGTTTTGTGATTTCCAGGCCGTCTCTGTGTGCAGAACCACAACCCCTTCAGCTTTCATGAGGATTATTTCACCAAGAGAATTTGTGGATGTGGTACTAATGAAGCAATATGAAGATGGGACGATGCTATCTGCTGGTAAGATGCTTGTGTTCTCAACGCATTCACATTATGCTGGTAGATAACCAGCAGCTACTGGAAATAAATGTAAAATAATAATAAAAAAAAAAGTAACATGGTGTTTAGTAGTTGCTGATCTGATCTTGGTCAGAAGATAAAATATGAGTGGTCTCTTTACATCATTGCCCTCAGAGTTTGTAGGTCATGTTAACGTTCAGATGATATTGTTGGTCTGCGGTTTCTTCCCTTGTTATGCTTCTCAGATTGAGTAAGTATTTCATTTGCTATTAAGTTCTGGGGGGTTTTGTGCGTGTAGGTTTTTTGTTGATTTTTTAAAGAATTTACAGAACTTTCTCAGAGGAGTCGCCCTTAGGCTAAATGCTGTTTTAGCATTTTCTGCAATGCCTCTAGGTTTTGGTGAAGCCATCAAATAAATGTACCACTCCTGTATGTGGTAATAATTGTTTTTATGAAACCAAGTAGTGCTGATTTTTCAGGGACTGCCACCTCGTGAAAGGATGTTTCTTTGTTTTTTCACTTTCATCCTGTTGTTTAACTGTTACAAGTCAGTGCTTTTATTGCCCTACTCTTCAGCTGTCCCATTTTCCCATCCTGTTCAGGAATG